GAAAATTTCAAGTCGTTTCAGTCGTTTCGGAGAAATTTTTTTCACTGACTTTGTAAAGAGCGTTTCGAGCAAAACTTTTAAAGGTTTGGAAGCTGATTATATTAAGCTAAAAAAATTCTTACAAATATGCTTGTAACTGTTAACTATTTACCGGATCAATTTTTCAACAATCAACATTCGATATGCCATATATTCAAAGGCGACTTATTGAAATTCACAAGTTGTTATAAACTCTTACGTAAAGCGATGTTGACAAATCAACTACCTTGTTGCAACAGGAAAGAGCCCTAAAGTAATTAGGAGCAATGCTGCCGAGTTGACAATACTTGGAGAAATCCGGATCTGTTCCAGTTACGTGGAACCGACTGGCGTGGGAACGGATCGCTTACATTGTGTACAGATTATCCGTGATCATAAATTACCTTCTTCGGCAACGCTTAGTTGCTGGGTACACGTTTTAAAATTTCTTTCGAAAAATAATTGATTTTTCCGAAAAAATTTCAAAGCAAAAAGTTAATTTTCAAAATCGAACCTGGAGTTGTCGGCAGTAAAAACTTTGTTCTCCACTCCACAACTTTAAATTTGTGTTGTAGACAGTATGCGTATATATTTAAAAGATAAATATTTCTTCAAATAAATATATACCTAGAACTTAGAGAACAAAATTTAATTGGAAATTAGTATTTTCCAAATTTTTTTTCTGTGTTATATTGAGTGTCCTACAGGCTATTTATAAGCCTCTAAATAAAGTTTATTAGTGTACGTAGTTATATGTCAATATATACATATGGTATATCCTAAAATTTTTTGCGTGTTTCGGTTATTTTACACAGTTGTTGTTGTTGCTGTTATGCGTGCATTGATAGTACCGACTTGGCCCAAACGGCATTTAAAAGGGTAAAATCAATAAAAAGCTTGTTGCTCAACACAACAAAAGCAAGACAAATAGCAGCAGCAACAATAACAAAAACAGCTATAGTAGCAGCAACTACAACAACAAACAATATAATGAATCACTACGTCGACAATAATAATAATAATAATCGTAAAAACAACAAAACACATTTCCCACTACAACAACTGGAGGAGGAAGCTAGCAACAACAAACAATAACCGAGCAACCGCATGCACGCAATACAGCGCACGCATACAAATGTATGTACATATTTACTTACATGACGAAGCGTATACCAGCAGCAGTTTGAGGGACAATAAGCAAAAACACCGGTTGACATCAATGACAGGAAGTGTCGGTGGTGTCGGTCGACTGCACGTTAAAGTCATTGCCGTTGGCGTTGTATGTATGTGCGTGTGTGTATATTTGTATGGGTGTATGCGTGCAAATAACTGTTATAATGCTGGTGGTCTTGTGTGATTTTTCCAACATTTGTTGGCGCTTTTGTAAGCAATATTTAGTCCAGGCTATGCGTATGCGTATATCACTATGGGTGTGTATGCATGTAAATATGTGTTGGTGTGCGAGTGTTGTACTAGTTCATTACCGACTTTCAATTTGCACCCAAAGTCTTGCTGTTACCACTAAAGTTGCTGCCATTTTTGATTTCTATTTAGACTCTGTAAGTGTCCTTTCCCTTTTTGTTGTATGTGTGTTTGTGTGTGTGTGTTATGCTGTGTATTTACTGCTAACAAATAAGTTGCAAGCTTATATTCGTGCGGTATCGTGTGTATCGGTTCATAGCCTGCAGGTAAAGTTAGACGAAAACATCAGCATTCTTTTTGCGTTCACTCTACTTATAAACATAACGGCACTATAAATATGATTTTTACCGAGATTCTAAAGCATGCAAGTCAGCAGAAAATTTATGTGCATAATTTGGCACAATGAAATGGGGCTAATCATAAAAGAAAATTTTAATTCAATTTCATGCCAACTAACTTTGTAATTTGTGTTATGGTAGAGAAAACTTCTTGATGGCAACGTAAAAGCTATTAAGGCTAGTTCACATTTTTCCATAATCTTTATAATTTTGGTTTTCCTTTTCCTTCTCGTAGTGAACTGAGAGAAATGCTAGCTTCAAAGGTAGTTATGTTAGGTTTTGGTTCAGTTTGCATTTCTAAGGTAGATGTGCCGAAAAAAACAGCATGTGGGTGGTGAGCATGTTAGATTTCTATTAACCAGAGCAAATTTAGGTCACCGTATGAATTATGTAGGCGATAAGTTAGCGGTTGAGATTATATTAAGGGATTTTATAATATATATATATATATCTATTCCTTATTCAAAGAGATGGTTTTCAATTTTTAAATTTTTTTTAGTACGGCAGTGCGAATCCTTTGAAAATTGTAAAAAAGCTAAATGAAAGTTTATAGTACGTTGAAACCTATTGGAAAAAGCAGACTAAATAACAAAAATGAAAAAATAAAAATTTACGTTCGGAAAGCGGATGGTTGAAATTTTATGGGTTTAAAATTAGGCAAAACTACGACTCCTATCGCAAAAAGTTGTATAGCAAAGTTTCAGCTAATGAAAAGATATATAACTTTTGTATCAATACCTTTTTAACATAACCTCAAAATGCATATGATATGAAAAATTAAAAAAAAAACAAGTTTTCGTTTTTTTATTTTTATTTTGTAGAAAGAAAAAAAAACTTTTTTCTAATTTTAAATCAAAAGTTCCCGACAGTAACTAAAACATTGCTTTAGAAAAATAGAACTAGTTAATTAAACATGTTTTGAACCATAACTATATTTTTTCTAGAATATCGACAAAACATTGTAAAGGCAGTTGAGTAATGCATATGAATAAGAGTCGATACTGAATAGTTGACAATTTAATTGCTATTTTTTCGGCAGAAATATAAGAACTATGTATCGTTATTATATGCGAATACTTATGTCCACTGAATATTTTTAAAAGGGAACATCCGAAAATTTAGTGTTTATTGATTGTGAGCTCCTGGCAGACTTTTTTTGTATTTTTAAATTAAGTCAAATTTGTTACACTGTGCGACGTTTTCAAATCCCAAATTCACAATTTTAAGGGATTTTTATAACCTGAACAGGGTATATTAAGTTTGCCACGATATTTGCAATACCCAGAGGAAAACGTCGGAAACTATACAAAAAATATATACGATTTAGCCGTGTTCGTCTGCCCGTTCGCCTGTTCGTCCGTTGATCTGTATATACGCTAACTAGTCTTTTAGTTTTGAGATATCGTTCTGAAATTTTGCACATATACTTTTTTGCCCGGGAAACTGCTCATTTGTCGGATCCGCCGATATTGGACCACTATAGCAGATAGTGTATAGTAAACTTTTTCATTTGGGGAGAGGATCTAACGAAATTTTGCACGGGTTATTATCCAAGGCAATAATCATTATAGCATTAAGCTGACAAACAAACTGAATGATCAAAATATAGTTATTTTATTCTTTTGAAGCTTTTGCGTTGATGAAGGGTATTATAGCTTCGGTATAATCGAAGTTAAAGTTTTTTCTTGTTTTAAATCGAATTTAATTTCTCATAACAGTGGAGTATTCAAAAAAAAAAAGTCAGATGTAAAAGAAAATATTTTGTTATTAAAAGTCAGCCAAAGCAAATAATTATATTTTATTTACAATTTGCCATAATTTTGTTACACAAAGTGACATGCAAAATATTAAACTCCCATTAGTAAAGTCAATAATTATCGCCTTGAGTCGGAAAATCAATTTGAATTCTGAAATTGTAATTCCTGGTTTTGGAAATAATATATAATATAATAATATTATATACTTATGTACTCGTATCGTATTTGTATGTAATTTTCATAAGAAATTGTAGGCATAACAGAATGGATGTTTAATCGTCTTAACTCAGTTGAGTTGTGTGTGTGTATGAAATATTATAGTTTTAGGTTAAAGTTCATTTGCAGAAGTAAGCTTTATAGCTTAAAGTATACCCTTAGTCCCTCTTCTCTGCCAAAATTTGAATTTATATATATTTGACAAAATATTTTAAATATTTTAAACCTCTTTTATTTAAGAGGTATATATAAAGGAATATATATGGTATATAATCTACAAGAGTTACTAAACATTTTCTGCAAACGCTTACACGCAAGTATATGTTTGAAGTCCGCTTTGACACTTAGTATCGTATACGAGGAAAAAGCTCACAAATAGGGGAGTGAGAAAAGAGAAATGGGTGGATATATTGGGCTTGAAAATGATGTTGTCGTTGTTAGCGAAATTTTTCCTGAAATAGTTGGAAGTGCAAATGTACGTATGTACATACATATATTAGTTTATACAGTATATGTGTACTAGGATGTTCGTTATTTCCAAACTGTTTGCTTATTGTAAACGCCTCCTGAAGTTTAAATTTTTGTTCTAAACAAAATATCCATAATAACCAAGCTTTTTATTTTCGATATAGATCGTGCCTAAATCATTTTACTTTACTGAATAATATTTTAGAGGTTCTTTTTTTTTGATATAATGTATTAAATTGAATTAAACTCCAAATTAAATAAACCTGCGACTATGAAAATCTGATGTTCCAATGCAAAATTTAGCGCTCTACAAAAAAGGTTCATCTAATTTTTTCCATAAAAGTAATCCTTTAAAAGTTATCCGCACTTAAAATAATGTCAAATGTATTGAGGGTTCATACAAGTGCCTTATAAATTCTGTGTTGCTCATACGGCATGGCGTACTAGTATATGAATGCAGCACTTTTGATGCATAACTTTAACTGCGTATAACTTTTGAAGGCTTTTATAGAAAAATTCAACAAGACACTTTTTGTAAAACGCAAAATTTTAAATAGAATATCATATTTCTAAAGTTGTAGATTCACTTGCTAATTGCAAAATATGAAAAAATCACATGATATGTAGATAGGAAATGAAACATGATTTAATAGACTCGATAAAAATTCACAATAAAGTTTTTATTTGGCTTGGACATTTTTTTAAGACAAAAACTGTAAGTTGAGGGTTCGTCTGCAAAAACAAAAAAAAAAAACACTGCCAGTGAAATAATGGACACTCTAGCATATATGTTAGTCTGTTTGTGAGTTTGATTGGTATTTTTATACAAATTTGACTAACCTTTTTCGCTTATACTATACCCAGTAAGAAAAATTTTTGACATTTTTACGGAAATGTTGAGAAGTATTTTTAACCTTTTCTGTAATTATGAGATACGGTATAAGGTTCAAAAATTGTATATACTTTGAATTTACCCTTTTCAGGGTATACAAGTATTACATAAATTGTATACATGTTTTTTTTTACCTTGAAAACTATTTATTCTGCTCAGTGGGTACAACTTTTGGTTATTGTTGTTAGTGCGATTATAGTTTCTTAATATTTTTGCTGCCATATTAAGCTGCTATTATTGTGTTACTGCTATTATTGTGTTACTGCTGCCATACTCGTTTATTACATTAAACTGATTATTAGTAGTGTTGCCGTGGTTGTTATTGCTGCTACCATTGTGGTTTACAGCTGTGTCTGGCATAACAAATACAGGGTTAGACATGGTAGTTGCCACAGGCAACAATAGGCTAGTAACCAAAACAATTATTTACAAAAAAACAACAAACAACATTCACACGCACACACAAAAAACTACAAGTGCACTTAAATACAAACACACACACACAAATATATAAATGCTCAAAGAAATAGCCATGAAAATGGCTTCACATATCCTCAGTGGAATTTCAAGTGCGACAAAAGCAGACAGATAAGTGAACGTCGACAAAACAGTTAACGGAGTGAATTATATTGAAGTGCAAGTCAAAAGCTGTAGCAGCAGCTAACTGTAAAAGTGTTCATTGTGCGCAAGAAAAAGCAGAATTATTAGAGAAACGAAGAAGGCAAGTGGAAGAAGCAGCAGCATATTAAGTGAATAGGAGTGCGCCTAAAAGCCCATTAGGCGCATACATGTGCAGAGTGCGAGAACATTAGCCAAAAAGATAAATACAAAAAAAGAACAAACCAACAACCACAAAAACACATTGACTAGCTAAAGAAAAATTATACAGTATATTCGAGCGTCGAATAAAAGACAAAACGAAAACAAACTCGCATGGTGTGAAAAAGGTGTTGCCATATGAAGCAATGCGCGCACACTAAGTTGGTTAAGTAATTGGTGAGCGCCACAATAACAACAACAAAGTTGCACAGCACGCAGCAGCTAGCTTGCTGTGGAGGCAATGGTGCACAGCTTGTGGCGGTCAGCGCCTGACACATCATTATAAGCACATCAGCAGCACGTGTGAGCACATACACAAGCGCACGCATATACAACCACACATATACATGTACGCTTACAAAAATATCGCACGCGCTTGTATTGTCCTTTTGTGTGCACGTCACTGTAACCATTGTGCTGTCGTGCTCTTTTAACAACAACATTTTCGTATAATTTCACATTATTTCTGTGTACGCCTCAACCGCAACGTGTCTGCCGTGTCACTGTGTGGCGATTGTGTGTGAGCGCGTGCATGCGTGCGTCAGTCATTTGCAGCCGCAACGTCCGGCATTAGAGTACCGCGTCTACGTCAACGGTAACCGCAACATCACACATACACATACACGCACATTTACATTCGTAATCCAAAATAAGTGTGGCAGCACTCATCAAGTGCTCAAAACAATGCTAACTTGTGTGTGTCGTCCCGTCTCCGGTAATTTGCCGAAAATGCCACCAACAATGATGCCCGCACCGAAGCCGCCACGCAGCGCCATCGCCATTACCGGGCTAGGTGTGACGCCCACTGTTGTGGTGACAGCGGAACCCAAAATGAACGTAAGTTACTAAGTTGTGCATGCAAACACACACACACACACATATGCATCTACAGTAAGCTGTGAAACGTGACTTGGCGCCCCTGACAGTGCGCGCGGTTGACCTTGTCACTCAGCGGGGGGCGTCAGCATTGACCGCGTTGCTAATTTGCAGTGCAACTGCGCTGAAGTTCGAGTTGCTACAAAAGTATCCATTAAATGGATATTTTAGCTTATGCGCGTATGTTTGTATGTGTGCGTGTGTATAGTGCTTTTTGCTATTTGCGCGAACTCGACTTCCGCCTGCGGCGCTGCCAGTCGCTTGGCTCAAATAAAAAGTGATAATAGTCATAAGTAGTTTGTAAGCTTTCGCTTCGCTTTGCCACAATTCTGCGGTTGATCCTTATTTATTATGCATGTGCAAGTGATTTTTTNGTATTCACTTTCGTTTCTTCTGCTTCTTTATTCTACTTTATTGTTATAGTTTATTGGATGGCCGGAATCGGTGTAATACAGTTTCGTATGTTAAAAGCAAATCAACTGTAATAATTACTTATAAATGGCAGCATTAGTTTAACAGTGTAGTATTAATGTACAGATGTCACGCAAAATATTTACGAATGTGCTTGAGGACATTAAAATTGAAAATAATACATAAATATTTGGAAAACAAAATAGGTTCATTTTCCTACTCATAAATATTCTTTGAAATAATTGCTTAAATTTGTTTTAAGATATTCAGTAAGAATAAAATTAAACTAAAATTTGTATAGAAAAACAATTTTCAAGTTAAAAAACTTCAATACTCTGGTATATTTATAATAATAAAAAAATGTTAATTTCATAAAAAAGTGTATTCATCTGGAAACATATAGAAAAATTTACAAGTATCTTGGAGCATTTTCAATTCCTTTCTATTTTGCATATTATACTTCAGAATATTTTGAATTTGATCCGAATTTTGCAACTATTAGAATTCCAATTTTAAATATGAAAACATATTTTGAGTTGCGTGACCATACTATATAATAATATATACTATAAATAATTTGAATTTTCGGATATTCACATGTGCGGGTAGTTCCAACGCTGCTACTAAAGCAATCTCCAGGTATCTGAATATCTGAATATTTAATGTCCGAATATCAGAACTTAATGAAAGTTGAAATGAAGGGAACAAGAAACAAGCAGTCTTAGTGACAACTCAAAATCCGCAATTACCGTATCTCATTCAAAGTTACTCACATTGTCAGAAGTGCTCGATGCGGACGCAAGAGTAGTGATTGAGTAGTGTAGTTCAACTATAACTGAATACCCAAAGTAACTATCACACCCCATTTACTACCCATACCGTAATTATATTTTACACAAAAACTTTTAGAATTAACCTTTTCAATAAAATTTAAAAAAATTTTCGAAATTTTCGCTCTATTTGATTTGAGTCATTTTTTTACACCTTGGCTTACATTATTTTTAATAAGGATTCCTAACTTTTTTGAAAAACGGTTATATTTTTCATTATTAAGACGATTTATAAAGATTTAATAAACTTTATGAAAAATTAAAAACTTCGTGAATTGCTTCACATTTCAGAAGCCATGGACAAGAACCACATTTTAATACGTTTTTAAAATCAGTTAACAAAATCTGTTTCTGGTATCAAATAACATGCTTTCAACAATTTCATAATAGATTTGGTTTAATCTACAAAAAAATTACTAAATTTATGAAATACAGTAATACTTTTTTGAAGATCGGTGCAAAATTTTGCTTTTTTTTTGTATGCTTTAAACATAAACGTATTTCCTTTTCTTTTAATTTTTTCAGAACAAATATTTAATCTTAATGTGTTTTGTTTCTATAATAAAATAAATTTAATTTAATATTTAAAAAAATAAAGAAAAAAAAAGCATAAAACTTATACATTTATCATTTAACATGAAACAGCATCAGTTAATGTTTGAACATTGACACCTTACCTAATGATTACAAACACTTTTTTAGAATTTGAAATTTATATTCAGTAAAGTAATTGTTTATTAAAATCTTTCGAGTTGCTAGTTTTTAAAAATTAAAAAATTATTTTATAAGCCGAACATTTAAGAGGATTTTGGTTGACGACACCCTCATATAATATATGAGGGTTTATTTTTAAAGCCTATTAATGAACGTATTAAATCAGCTCAAAAATAAATCTAAAACTCAAAATTCCGAAATATTATTATTCAATGAATTTAAATTAAGGAAAAATTAAAATTCCTAAACAAAATAAATTAATTACTTAAGCATATTATATTGCTCTTTGTTACAATATATATATTAAAAAATTAAAAGTGAATAGAGTCAGCTTTTACACCTGAGCCCGTTAATTTGTTGGAACTTGATTGATAATTGTTGATTGTTGTTTTTTGTACAGTTTTTGAATGCAAAAAGTTAAATTAGATGTTTGTTATTCAAAATAATTCAAAATCATATGATGCAATATGTAAAAAAAATATCTTTTATTTATTGTATTTTTTTTTAATTATACATAATCCATATCCGAATGCATCTATATTTCCAATAAATAAATTAATAAACAGCCAAAAAACTTGGATATTTGCATTTTTCATATCAAATCTGAGGTTATGTGAAAAAAATGTGTATACAAAAATTGTAAATCTCTTCATTTGTGGAAGTGCTACTTCATAAGCTTCTCACCGAGTACATTAAAATTTCATATATGTATATATGTTGGTGAAGGCAATATTAAGCACTTATGAGTTCTGAAAACTGCAGTTCAAGCAAAAACAACAACAACAGTAATGAGTGCTTAATACTATTGTTATTAAACTATTATAACCGATTTGAGGGGTTGTGTTTTCGCTTGAACATTCTTTCAATATTCTAGGCATTTCGGAGTTCTGCGATATTTCAGAAAAATTTAACATCTTTCTTTAAGCATCTTTTCTTATGAAGAAACTTTTTATTCAATCTTTTCAGTTGTGTAGTTTATCGGAGAACAGAAAATTGTGATTCATATTAATTTTTATATCCTAAACAGGGTTTATTAAGTTTACGCCGAAGTATGAAATACTCAAAAAGAAATGTGAGAGACGCCATAAAATATATATGTAAATGATCAGTAAGACGAGCTGAGTCCAGTTAGCTATGCCTATCTGCCTGCCCGTCTCTCCGTCCGTATATACCCGAACCACTCCCTCACAGTTTTTGAGATATCGATCTGTAATTTGAGCGCGTCCTTTTCTTCTAAAGTAGCTGATCATTTGTTGGAATCGCCGATGTCGGACCATTATAACATAAAGCTGCTATTCAAACTAAGCGATCAAATGCGAGACTTTGTATGGAAAACTCTTTTATTTTACAAGATATCTTCACAAACTTTGGCATGAATTAATTTTCAGAGCAGTAACACAGTCTCTGAAGAAAATTCAAATCACACTGCTATAGCATATAACTTTCATAAAAACTGACCAAACCAAATCAATATAAACATCTTTGTATACCCTTTTTTACTATAAAATATATAAAATAAAATACCTGTGAAGAGTATTATAGCTCCGATACAGTCGCAGCTAACGCTTTTTCTTGTTTTTAAATTATTGAAAACTACTTTCGATTGTTTTTAATAAACATTTTTTTATGTTTTTTGTTTTTTTTTTCTTTTATTTTGACTGAAAAAAAAGTTTGTACAACTAATACTTCTCTGCATTCCATATACATATATTCCATAACAGAATATTTTTCATATCGAAATATTTTAGTGTTTTCAATATTTTGCCTACACCCTGTATGCTTGGAATGTTTAAAATCATGCTATCATTATAAAGATAGTATTAATAGTACCACAGCAAAAAATTTGCATATAAAAGCTATTTCAATGNAGAAATGTGAGAGACGCCATAAAATATATATGTAAATGATCAGTAAGACGAGCTGAGTCCAGTTAGCTATGCCTGTCTGCCTGCCCGTCTCTCTGTCCGTATATACCCGAACCAGTCCCTCGGTTTTTGAGATAACGATGTGTAATTTGAGCGCGTCCTTTTCATCTAAAGTAGCTGATCATTTGTTGGAATCGCCGATGTCGGACCATTATAACATAAAGCTGCTATTCAAACTAAGCGATCAAATGCGAGACTTTGTATGGAAAACTCTTTTATTTTACAAGATATCTTCACAAACTTTGGCATGAATTAATTTTCAAAGCAGTAACACAATCTCTGAAGAAAATTCAAATCACACTGCTATAGCATATAACTTTCATAAAAACTGACCAATCCAAATCAATATAAACATCTTTGTATACCCTTTTTTACTATAAAATATATAAAATAAAATACCTGTGAAGAGTATTATAGCTCCGATACAGTCGCAGCTAACGCTTTTTCTTGTTTTTAAATTATTGAAAACTACTTTCGATTGTTTTTAATAAAAAAATTTTTATGTTTTTTTTTTTTTTTTGTTGTACATCTAATACTTCTCTGCATTCCATATACATATATTCCATAACAGAACATTGATCATATTGAAATACTTTTGTGTTTTCAATATTTGGCCTACACCCTGTATTCATGGAATGTTTAAAATCATGCTATCATTATAAAGATAGTATTAGTAGTACCACAGCAAAAAAATTGCATATAAAAGCTATTTCAATGTTTTCAATATTTTGTACTGGGAACCTGTCATGTCAATGTAAAAATGTGTATAATTATATTTTTGCGTGATTTAATAATAAACACTTTTTTACTCAAATTTTCCAACTTTTCCATTATTGTGTGCACGCACTGTACCATTGTCCCACTAAGCATAATTTTGGTCGCACTTAAGTTAAGCTGTCACTGTTGTCAGCACTTTGTGCGCACCGAAAACTTTTATTGCCCCTCATTCCTTCATTTTAGTGCGCTGTTTATTACTTTTATGATATATTGCTTGTGATTGATTAACTTGCAGCTTATTCGTACTGTTTATGCTTATTACTACAGCTTATTGTATAACAGACTGCCTGTTGTGCTTGATTTTACCACACAGCAAACTCATCAAACTTATTTTCTGCTCTTTTCTCTTTTCATTTTACCTGAAACGCATCGCTGCTGGATGGATATATCTCGGTTAATATACATACATTTCGAAAACTTATGTGCATGTGTATGTGTATTCACCAATCTGGGCTTAACAACGTCAACATCAACGTCAACCCAACCACTATTACTATCACTATCAACAACAATAAAATTCAAATTGAATTCACGCGTTCGCGCTTCATCAACGCCACCGACATCCCACCACCCCGTGCAAACGGCGCTGCTGATGAAATTAACAAACTCACACACATCCACTATCGCGCTGTAACTGTGCTGGTGTTGTAGGTGCCTGGCAGGCTGACATCAGCCGAATTACGGGCGATGGCATTGCGACAACAACAGCAAATCGACTCGCAACACCAGCTGTTGGCCACCAAGGAGCAGCGCTTGCGTTTCCTCAAATCGCAGGAAGTGCGAAATGCGGTCGCCAGCGCCGAAGGTGAGCGCCTGCGACGTTTGCGGGAGCGCGTCGAAGCGCAGGAATCCAAATTGCGGCGACTGAGAGCGCTGCGAGGTCAAGTGGACTTACAGAAGACTTACAATGTTACGCTGAGTAAGTACTAAAACAGGCAAGAAAAAGTCACGCCAGCCCTTAAAGTGTGTGTTATATGTATGAAATATGAATTTACAGTTGTAAGCGCGCATGTGCTCGTGTGTGTGTGTGTGTGTGTGTAATGACAACTATTTTGCGCTGTCATAAACATATTCACATGCTGTAAGTAGCCTTGTTTTGTTTTACGCTGCCTCTTTGCCTGGCATTTGTGTGTTGAGTGCGCCAACAACAACAACAACAACAACCAGAGTGTTCGTGTGTGGCATGCAACCATATGCCGCGAGCAGTCAGCCATTTTCGGTAAACACACCAGCGGCTAAAAAACGTCAACGAGTCGTCATGTCAGTCACAGCGCCACAAAAATCTCCGTAAAAGCGCTTTTGGCAAATTGAACGAGCACAAGTGCTTTGGTCAGTTGTTGTCTGGAAGTGTTTGGTGAAATATGTATATGTCATATAAATATTAAGCAATGTGAGCTTTTCGTAATTTGCATGTTGCAAAGTTATGAAAATTTTATATCCGGCCATTTCATTGTTGTGAATTTTAGTTACTTTTGTACCCAGGGATAATTGTGAGCGAAGAGGAAAACATTTTAACAAATTTTTTGTTTGAGAATACTATTTGCATCTAATAAAATTAGCGGGTAGAACTTTTGTAGAGCATATTAATCTACTATCGCCTCGAAGTTGTTATTTTTATAGATTTTCACAAAAAAGGATTTCAAATGTTCCACATGATGGGTGTAACAAGGGTTAATATATATAAGAGAAATTTTTATCAAACTAAGTTTAACTACATATGACACTTTTATGCCCATAGTGTGATAGCTTAATTAGGCAATTTTGAGAATTGAAAAAAAAGTTAAATTTTTAAGTTACAGTAAAATTTTTAAAGGAAAAACTTAAATATATTTTGAGTTACCTGCGATTTCCAATGACGCAAAAAACACAAGGCTCTCCACAGCTGTAGTGATTCCGGCCTTCCTGTCGGGAAAATATTGTTTGTATAATGACCTAAGTGAAAAATAAAATTGACAAAATGACGGTGTTTAAACAAAAAACATTGAATTTTACTCAAACTGGATCTTTGATCTGTCAAAATTCCATCGATTCAAATTCGAAAAACGCTGTTCCGAGTAAAACGCCTTCAAAGACAAACTGATGGAACAGAGCAACAATAATTTAGAAGCCAGTAACTCAAAAAATATTTGAAATATTAAATTAAAAATTTGGTATTGTGTTTTTAATTGTTTAGACTTACAAAATATGAGAAAAATATAAAAAATATTTTTTACTAATTTCACACTAGGTAAAAGGTAAAAATAGATAAAATTGGCGTTTTCAGACGTAATACCGTAACGTTAACTAGGAAATTGGACCTACGAATCAGAAAAAGGCTCGGATTACGATCTATTCAAACACTGTTAACTCCGCATAATTCAAAAAAATAACTTAATTCCAATTAATCAACTAGTTTTTAGGATCGCCAATTTTCCTTGATCATGCTTACGTATATCAAAAATGTGTCAAATTGAACAGAAGGCGGCCTTCACCTAGTGAATAGCGGTGTTCCTGAAAGTTTAAAATTGTGTGATAATTTTAAACTAGATATCGGTACAATACACATATATTGCAATTTTACAAAGAATCGCCTTTTAGAAAAATCATATCACATTATAACTTATTTCAGTAATGGGTGTGGTGATAACAATTTTTCTGTTAATTTTAAAAATATTTCAAACGTCACTTGTACAATATGATGATAACAACTATATAATAATTTTCCACACCATATAATCGAAAATATTATACTTCGAAAATTGTAAAACAATTGACAATTAATGAGAATACATGCCATATAATGGTAACCTGAATACCGTTACTTATCTTTTTATATATATTTATTTTTTTTTTTCTAAATCGAACACTCTTGTTTAACTTGACTTAAAAATCATCGAAAATAATCCTAACCTCTCAAATTTTGAAGACGTAATTTTCTCCACAAGAGCATTTAGCTCTCAATCTGTCTGTATATACTCGAACTAATCTCTCAGTTTTTGAGATATCCAACCATTTCTCTCAAGAAACTGCGCATTTGTCGGAATCGCCGATATCGGACCACTACTGCCATATAAACCGACCAATCGAACTTAAGTCCTTGTATGGCAAACTTATTAATTTGAGGAGATAGCCCAACGATCTAAACGCTCCTTACTTCTTTTGTGTTTACTATGTACTGTGTTCATATGTATATGCGTACCTTTTTTCTAACATCCGCTCTCCCTTACCAAGACATTGTTACGTGGCACTACTTTTATTATTACTACACAGGATTAGCCTGGCTGACTCTTAAGCATTGTTCTACTTACAACATGTTCTTCGACTCTAATTGGATTTGTAAGTGCGGCGCGCTGCTTCCTCCCAAACCTACACACACACAAGCGCACAAACTGAGGCTTCAACTTTAGCCTCGCGCCTGCCCTATTATTACACTCGCACGCAATCACACTCAAAACTCGGAACTCAGAGCTTCACAGCATGCTACTTGTCAAATTTTACATTTCATCATGCCACGTCGACCGTGTGGAAAGCACAAGTATATGTAGAATGTATTTAGTCTGCAGCATGTGCTTTGACATGCTGCTGCGGACACGTCAACCTCGTCAACCTCGCCAGCCTCATCACCGGTAAGCAACGGGACTCTAAGGTACACGAAATCCGTGCTAAGCGGATTATAACCGGCACGACATTCACAGCTTCACAGCTGCGTCGCTCGCCAGCGCACCAGTTTAAGCCTGCTTTTCGCTTGCCTGTAGAAAAAAATAGATATATATTTGTATGTGCGTGTGTGTGTATGTGTTCACTTAGAGCGACATTAGTGAAAGACATTTGCACGAATGTTCTAGTACATATTTCAAGTAGAGCTTTATCCTGCCAATGATAGCCGTGCCGCATGGGCGCCATTCAACCAGTTGGCTGTTAGAAGAGCATGGGGTTGCTTGTGGATTATGGGGTTCTGCCTCGACCACAAATTGGGCACAATCCGTCCACACTGCCGCCCCAACCTTCTCGTAATACCTTTAAAGCTGTTAACTAATTAAAATGTTAATGGCGGTTGACGAGTGTTCGGCGCTCAAAGTGAATAACGGTTAAAACTTTTCTAATATATTGTAGTATTAATAATACGCTCTCGCACGCACCTACTTACAAGTGTGACTACAAAGTGTAGGCGCTTGGGTCTAGCTAGATCACTCACGCACATGTAAATTTGCATGTTTTCGCATGTAAATTAGAAGGTTGTGATGTTTTTTGGTTTTTGTTGATGTTGATGTTGTTGCTGGAATATGTGAAAAGTGATTAGATTTTGTGGTTCGTGACTTGAAAGCGTTGAAATTGAAAGTATTAAATTATACGTCCCATTAAGTTTTAATTGCGCGTTATACTGCGCGAAATACAGGTATGTATATGTTTCATGGCGCAAATATGTAGGTATATGTGTGTATAGGTGTGGGTTTTAGTTTTATGAAACTAAATGCTTTTCCGAAAAGTTTTAAGGTTATTTGCATACGAGCAGAACGAAGTGGAACCGTTTTAATAGTCCTAAATTTTTAATAGTTTACTGCTTTAATACAGTTATATGGCATAAGTTCATTTATGATAAACAATTGATTGAAGGGATGATAGTTTAGACCGTTTATATACAAGCCTTGATAGCATATTAAAATGTATTTCCAACTTTGTTTTCGTGTTACTTATGAATACAGGATGAACCAAAATTTTAATATTTTATGATATTCTGCAAATAGTAAGTAAGTTTACCACGAAATTTGTCATATCCAGATGGAAACATTGGCGACCCTATAAAGTATATATATAAGTGATCAGCATGACGCATCGATTAAGACATATGCATCTGTATGTTTGTATATACGCGAACTAGTCCCTCACTTTTTTAGAAAAAAAACTGCTCATTTGTAGAGAACCGTCGATAGCGAACATCCTACATCGGATATCTGCCATGGAACACTTTTTTATTTTACAAGTTATTTCCACGAATTTTGGCATATATTATTTTCCATGACAGCAGTACAATCTCCGAGCAAATTGTGCAGATCGGTCCCCTATAGCATATAGCTGCCATATAAAAAAACCGATCAAAATCAAGATAAAGATCTTTTATACCTTTTTATGCAAAATTCTTGTTCGTTATCGTTTCGTTATAGCCGCAGGCTTATTGCTTCAGGAGAGTTCGGACCGACAGAGCGCAGTTTGTCACTTGCTGAATGCTGTCAAGGTTCTGAATCCTTTTTGTCGGCTTTTGCATTACATTCATTCTAAATCTTATTAACTGTTGCATTCAGTTGCCATTTTGAGGTTAAACGGACTATTTGGTCCATCTTGTTCCAATAGAAGATTTACCATCAACGTTCTGTTATATTTAATTATAAAAAACTACATACAAATTAACTCTACTCTCCCCTGCCTTCAGGCAACGATCTGGACTCAATTCGTGCGCTTTTCAGCGAGAAGGAGAAAGAACTTAGTTTAGCAGTAGCAAAAGTTGAAGCGCTCACACGACAACTAGAAGATTTACGACGCGATCGTCGCTGCCCCATAAATCTGCTATCAACGGGCAATAATAATGGCAACGCGCAACCGCTACCACCACAAGCATCACGGGAACTCGAAAAGTTGCGACGCGAGTTGGTGGTGAGTAGTAAAGCAATCACTAATTACGCAATACATTTTATGAAACTAAAATATCAATGCATTTTCAGTATCGCAATCAATTGTCGCTGCAGCAGGATGCGCGCCTGCATCTACAGCGCGAGGCGCTGCAACAACGACAGGCTGAACTGCGCTCCGTTGACCAGCGCATCTACGAGCTACAGACGCGCTTGCAACGTAAGAAGGCCGCCAATATACAAAATAACGCGCAAAATCAAAATCAACTGCATATACCACCGCATGATTTGCACCAACAGCAGCAGCACCAGAAACAGCAGCAACAACAGCCACATCAGCAGCATCAACAAAGCGCGTCACAGCAACAGTCACACCCATCACCGACGCAGGCGTATAGCAAACCGCACACCAATGTTGCCTACAACCAACAACAGAGCGGCCATCATCACAAGCCAAGTGGTGTGGCAGCGCTCAAACAGCAGTTGTTGCAAAAGCAAGCCAATAATCTGTTGACCACAACGCAGCAACAGCAGAATGCTTCGAAATTCCCGAATATCATCACGCGCGAGCAAAATCGAAACATACCGCGCGGCAATGTCGCAGCGGTGGAGCCATACATACACACGCCGCATAAGTCTGCTGGTGGCGCCTACTTGGGCGCCGGTAATATACTAAAGCATGCCGCCGCTACAGCTAATACGAATCAGCAGAATCAACTGATACAGGATTTGACACACATGAAGCACAACATAACTGCCGCTACGCATAGTCCACAAGGCGGCGCGCCGCACAGTGGTACAAACGCCGCAAGCGCGCAAACATTTTTCAGCGGCGAGAGCGATGAATCAAAGTTGGCGAAGAAAATGTTGACAGCGTCGCTTGCCGCTGCCAAGGCCGCAGAACCGACGAAACCCGTGGAAGTGGACACATCGATGCACATCTATGCCGAGGTGGGTCCAAAAAAGAGAGATTTGCAAAAAGCAGCAGAGGCTGCCAAAGCGGCGGAAGCTGCCGCCCGCGCGGCTGAAGCAGCTGCGATGGCTTCAACAAGCGGAAATGGCGCATCCACCACCACTGCTATCACAACTACCGGCAGCAAAATACCGAAAAGCATCAGTTCCTCCACCTCAGCGACTGTTTTGATCAGCAAACTGAACAGCGCCACCGCTGCCTCGAGAGAGGCGCGCACTGACTTGGAGCGAAGATGCGAGGGTGCGGCAAGCGAAGCGCTAACTGAGAAACACAGTCAGCAACAACAGCAGCTAACTGTGCATAGCATGCCACTGGGCACTGCCAATAAGTCACTTGCCACTGCTGTCGCGCACACGAGTGCATCTACGGCTACAACAACAACGAGCACAGCAACTGCCGAAGGCACCCATACGAAGCCGAAACCACTGCAGGCACACTCAGCCAGCGGTCTGGCAATACCGCCGCGCAAGCCAATTAGTAGCGTAGCGCCCACATCGGTGACAAGCTCCATACCGAAAATGGTACCCATTAGTCCTAAGGTCAATCGCGTTGCGCCGAATGTCGTAACAGCCACATCGACAGCTACGATAAGTGCGGCGGCAGCAACAGCAAACGCCGCATACCCAGATCGACCGGCGCTGCCACCGAAACCAAGCAAAATGTCGCCTACAGAACACGCAAGTGAGCACAATGCGCAAGCTACAACAACGTCAACAACATCAATGCTGAAAAAACCCGCCGTACACGCCGCGTCAATAACAGCAGCCGCGTCAAATGAATTGCAGCAAGCCACCCAAGGCTTGCAAACGCTCAATATAAATGATAATCTGCCGATCAAGGCGAAACCGCTGACAATACGCAAGCAACCTATGTGTGAGCAACCGCGTCTCAAGTTGAACAGCAATGTGCCCAAACCACCGCTACAAACGGCGCGAAAAATGGATATGCCAGCTGCATCGTCGTTCCTCTACCCCGCGGATGGTAGTCAACGCGGTGAACGCGGCAAAGATGCACAAGATAATGGCAATAATAACAACAATGCTAACCGCTCAACTGTCTCAGGCAGCATCACATCATCGGCCGCCTCGTCGCCGGAACAGCTACCGCAGTATTCGCTGCCACAAGTCCCACCACCAACATCCAATGCGGCAACGGCACAGTCACAGCATTCGCCAAACAGCAATTCGCAGACGAGCTCCAGCTTAGACGAATTGGATAAAATTGAGCATCACAGCGATGGGGTAAGCGGCATTGAATCTACCACCGATGCAAATGGTATGAAGCGGCGCGCCATATCCACAGGTAGCGCGCCAACATCTTCTGCGCTTTCGTCAGCGTCTAACGGCAATGGCAAACCGAAATTGGCGCGCCGCGTGAGCTTCGATCCGCTCGCTCTACTGTTGGACGCCAGTCTCGAAGGTGAACTGGAACTGGTGAAGAAGACCGCAATGCAAGTGGCGAATCCCAGCGCCGCCAATGATGAAGGCATCACCGCACTGCACAACGCCATCTGCGCTGGTCACTTCGACATAGTCAAGTGAGTACCAAGAACCCAAATGCTTGAAGTGCTTTTTTTTACTTAACTGTTCTTTTTCTTTCTCTTCTTCTACAGATTTCTCGTGGAATTTGGCTGCGATGTCAACGCCCAGNGTGTATGCGGTATTCTCGTATGATGCTCAAAATAGCGACGAACTAACATTCCAAGTCAACGATCGTCTCATTATCCTGCGTAAGGGCGACGATGCCGAGAGTGAGTGGTGGTGGGCCAAGAATGCGAATGATGAGGAAGGTTATGTGCCCAGAAATCTGTTGGGGGTGAGTAAAACTTAATAATTATAGATAATACGAAAATCACAAGTAAAATTGTACATCAGCCATCTGCGGATCAGTACAGAGACATTAGCAGCGTAAAATATTTACATATATCTCAAAAGCTCCTATTGAAAGTTCTTTTATCCAAACTTTTTTTCACAAATTTTAATGTTTTGTCTCTATTCCTAAAATAGGAGACAATTCTATCAGCGAAGACGTCAGGGCTGAAAGATCGGTCGTCAGATAGTCATGTCCATGTATACAATAGCACTCCTCTCGTATATAGTTAAGATTAACACAGCAAGATTTGCTGAAGTTATTTAAGACGGCTTTCATGTACAACAACAACATCTAAAGCAAACTTTACTTATGTGCATGCTCTGCATTACATACCATTTTAGATATCCTATTTCTGCGCTCTAGAATACATAGCCTTTAAAGAAGAGTTTTTAACTTTTTGGAGATTCCTTCCTTCTTTTTGTTATATTTTACCTCGGTTAGATTAGGTTAAAAAGTCGATCCTACTAAGCTTAGAACGCCTTAAGACCTATATAATTGATCATAAGACCCTCATAAATCGACAAAGAGCTTTGCGTCTATCATAAATTTGTTGAAAGGAATTTCTAGTGCGGACAGACATTCCATGACTAGCTTTGAGCGCACAGTTAGCGAGCACAGCGCTGGTATTGCCGCTCTGCTGTCGGAGTGTGAATGCTCATCTCCATAATAGAAGCTGTGATTCGGTAGCCTGAAGCTAAGATTGACGGAGACCTCCTTCTCCCCTTCCAACCTGTCATCCTAGCTTCGACCCATCCATGAAAAATGTCACTGTGCCTCATAAAGGGCAGATAAAAAGCCGTAACGAGTAGCCTTTGTGTCGCAGTGATCCAAGTTTTTAAGGATGCCGTTGAGTGATTTTTAGTGTGTCCTTGTTCAGACCCCTGCTTATATCCAGTTTCCATTAAAATCAAAATCAAAAAATTTTTTTTTGTTTTATTTATGAAAATATGTTCGTCTATAATACATACATATACTAATAATATCTCTCTCTCTTTTTATTGTCTCTCTGTATTGCAGCTCTATCCCAGAGTTCCACCACAGACATCCAACTTCAACGATTAGCAGTTAATACGATTTTATATATGTAAAAAGAAATCGGGTCGTCTGATACAAAAACACTACATTTCCAAATACTTGTAATAGTTGGCAAGACATAACGGAGAATGAGTGCAGAAGACTACAACACACACAAATGCACACGTGTGGAATGCAAATCAAAATAACGCACGCGTTGCCGCATAACGGTCGTTAGTAGCATACAAACTACTTTTAAGCAATTACTAATTATTTTTTAAACTATATATTAACTTTGTCTAATTTTACGCATTCATTTTAAGTTCTTTTTCTAATTTAATTTTATGACAGCGTTTTGTTTGCTGCCGCATGAAAGTGTCCATAGAATGTGCAACATTGATATTTAAGCGTTTTCGAAGGTTTTCTACATAAGTCCTAAATATGTACATATATAGAGTACATACGAACATATATATTTGTATATACATACTTACTATGCTATGTTATGTATGCTCAAGCGCATAAACTAAAAATAAAAGCAAAAAATAAATAAAACAAAAATAATTCATATATATTTGACTAATGCTATGTAATAAGCTACTTATAAATAATAAAATGTTAAAGCTTACAATAAAAACAATATGTAATAAATACAAGCACACACAATAACTATTTATTTACTAAACTTTACACCTTCAAACTTGAATGAGTAATGTATATGTATGTCGTTTTTATAGTCGTTAATTGCCAAGAAATGGTTTTCGACGGTTACATAAAAAGTTTTTGGTATAAAAATTGGAATTAGAAATTTTCTTTATTGTTGAAATAATAGTGCAAGCTTTCCCGATAATAGCTGTATAACAATCATTTTAAATAAAATTCTATATGTACCATATATATACAACTTTGCACAGTTTTCATGAATATTTTTTCTAAAACGGCACAGTTTATAATAATATAATTGTTGTGTGTGCTTTAGTTTTAAACATATTGTTTTTATGTAAGCTTTAAAAATTTTATTATTATGTAGACTTATTGGCATAGCATTGTTCAATCAATATATAATATTATTTTGTATTTATTTTTGCTTTAGGTTTTGCAGTTTATGCGCTTGACATTCATACATAGCTATGACAGCTATCTATATACAAATATATGTTCGTATGACTCTATATATGCATATTAGGATTTGTAGAAAACCTTCGAAACGCTACAATATCAATGTTCACATTCTCTGGACCTTTCATGGCCAGCAAAACAAACGCATGTCATAAATGTACATTTAGCCAAAAAGAACTTAAAATGACACGAATGACAAAGTTAATATAGATTTAAAAAATAAAGTTTGCTCGTTTAAAGTAGGTTGTATTGTATCTGAACGACGTATTATCATACACGCGCGTGCAAACCCCACGTGGTTATTTTATTCATTCACACTGTGCATTTGTGGTGTGTTGTAGTCTCTTGACTCATTCTCCGTATGTCTTGCCAATATTGACACGGCAATATCGACAGTAGTTTTTGTATTCAGACGACCGGAAATTTCTTTTTACCTGCATAAAATCATCTGCTAACTAATCGATTGAAGTTGGATGTCTGTGAGTGCGAACTCTGGAGAATGGGCTGCAATACAGAGACAATAAAAAGGAAGAGTATATTTAGTATATGTATGTGTATTATAGAGCGAAGATTATTTTCCTAATAAACAAAAAAATTTTGATTTTGATTGTATTGGAAACTGGATATAACAGGGGTTGAACAGGACGCACTAAAAATCACTCAACGGCATCAATAACGGATCCGCGACACAAGGCTCGTCGTTGTGCTTTTATCTTGCCTACATGGGCAAGCTGAGTTTTTCATGGATGGGTCCAGAGCTAGGAGACAGGTTGGAGAGGGATGAAGAAGAGTCTCGATCTATCTTAGACTCAGGGCGCTACGAATCACAGCTTCTATGTAATGGAGATGAGCATTCACTCGAAGCAGCAGCGGCAATACCAGCTGTCGAACCTAACGACAACTCAAAGCAGTCATGAATATTCCCCACTAAATCTCACTTCAAAATCCGTTATGAAAGCGCAAAACTGTCCGATGCAGGTTATGTCATTATAGAGGTCGTTAAAGGTTTGACCTAAGCTAATGGATCGACCTTTCTACATCTAACGAGTGGAAAATATAAAAATCAAAGTTAAGTTAAAGAATATCTAGCGCAAAGAAGTTAAAAATTACTCTTTCCGAAACATACGGTATTGCTTTAGATGTTGTTGTATGTATGTGACAGCCGTCTTAAATAACTTCAGCAAATCTTGCTGTGGATAATCTTTTACTATACTGAAGGACATGCTATGTACCATGGACGAGCACTATCTGACGAACGATCTCAGCCCTCTGGCTTTCGTAGATTAGATTGTCGGCCTCTATTTTAGGAATAGAGACAAAACATTAAAATTTCGAAAAGTTTGGGATGAGAACTTTCAATGGAGCTGCAGATATATGTAAATCATAGCTGCTTATGTGGCGCTCTGTACTACCGAGATGTGCTGATGTTTTTAGCTGTTTTCTGAGTATTGTAAAATTTATTAAGTTTTCTCACCCCCAACAGATGTTCTGGGCACATGCCCTTCCTTCATCTTACAGTCTTGGCCCACCACACTCACTCTCGGCGTTCGCGCCCTTAGCACGGATTGAGGAACGATTCGTTGACTTGGAATATCGTCGTATTCGAGGCAATCTCGCGAAATACGCACACCTCGCCATTATGTAGTATACCGAGTTTCTCTTGAATACCTATGAGAGAGAGAGAGAGAGAATGTACGGATGAAATAACATTAGACACATTTCTTGACACACGGAAACTGATATCAGCGCTCCAATTGCTTCTGTATAAATACTCAAACCATCGAACCCCTCTGCATCACTTCGCATTTTTCTCCGCCGGCGTTCATGATCCGACCAGTGTCGACCGCCGAAATGAGTGAACGCATTTCCGCAAGAATTCCATAGATAAGTTGTTACAGCTAGCGGCACAATGTAATGGCGTCCAGCCATCGGAATCCTGGGCGTTGACATCGCAGCCAAATTCACCGAAGAAATCTGTGAAAAGAAAGAAGAAAAACAGTTAAGTAAAAAAAGCACTTCAGTCATGTTGGGTTCTTGGTATCATTTGCTAATGTCGAATTGACCCAGCGACGATGGCATTGTGCATGCGGTGGTGATGCCGTTCATCCATTGGCGCGCTGATTCGCACTTGCACTTGCGGTTTACTTCACCAGTTCCAGTTCACCACTGAGACGGCGCTCCAGCAGTAAGCGAGCGGGATCGAAGCTCGGACGCCACCAATTTCGTTTCTGCCAGCCAGTTAGAGAGCTGACGCAAAGCAGAAAGATGGCGGCGCAGCTACCGCTCGGATAGGCGGCGCCGCTTACCTATTTGCATCGTGGTTAGATATTCATGCCGCTCTGCCATCGCTGTGATGCTTCAATTTTGCATCCCATTCGTCTACTGGGCTCAGCTCAATATGCTTACGCGGTATGCTGTTGTATAATACATGTGTCCGTGTGCGCATTGGATGTTGGTGGTGGGACTTTGGCAGCGAAATACTGCGTAGCTGTTCCGGACGAGGCGCCGATGATTATGTGCCTGCAGACGTGAGCGGTTGCGCATTGTTTGTTATTATACATTATCTTGTGCATCTTTGCCGCGTTCACCGGCGTTGACACCATCCAGGGTAGAGAACACCGATGCGGCTGGTCACTATCCATTTTCGCGCGTTTGTGGCAGGTGGTTTGGGCACATTGCCTGTTCAACTAGGAACGCGGATGCTCGCAGTAGTTGCTTGCGTATGTCAGCGAGTTTCGCCATGATCGGCGTGTCATCATTTATATTGAGCGTTTGCAAGCCTTGGGGTGGCTCTGCCACATTCATTTTGAGCGGAACTGCGTGTTATTGACGCGCGATGTGCGACGGGTTTTAGGCATTGATGTTGTTGACGTCTGCTGTAGCTTGCGCATTTGTGCTCACTTGCGTTGTTCTTAGGCGACATTTGCTTGGGTTTCGGTGGCTAGCGACCGGAATCTGAAATCTGGGTATGCGCGTTTTGCTGTACTGCCACCGCATTGGCTAAAATGATGTGACATTGCGACGTTCAGCGCAGCGCGATTGACCTTCAGGACTGTTACTTGTTTTGGGGCAAGACAATGCGTAC